TTCATGCTTTAGGTATTGTTTTAATACACTTTTAAAGTGTGAAAAATTCTTAACTATTTTGACATGTTTTGGGAGAGAATTCCAAAATTGGATACCATTAAAATAAAAAGAGTTTCCAATTTGTCCTTTTCGCTTGGGTAAAACAAAATTAAAATGACTATTTCTTGTATCGTATCCATGGATATTTGAGACACGAGTAAAATTATTAGTAATATAATGATCTACATCTGAGTAGTATATTTTATGGACATGGTGTAACACGAGTTGTTTAGACCTTTGACCTACATGGAGTATACCTGCTTCTTCAAGTTCATTTTTCCCGACGTGTGTTCTTGGGCCTAAGCAATTAATAAATCTTACCATCTTATTCTGAATTATTCTTAACTTTTTCTTATCCATCTTGCCCAGACTACTGTACCAAGCAGCATTAGCATAATCAAATAAACATTGTATCAAAGCAAAACACAAAATACGTCTCGACTTCATGTTCATACAAGTTTGGTATCTATACAAAAATTTTAAGCGAGAATTAGCCTTTTTGGCAATTGAATCTACCAAACCTGTCCATGACAGATCACTAGTTAAATTTATTCCTAAATATTTTACTGAATCTTTTCTCTCAATCACTTGATTATTATAGGTAACCTTGAAGTCACGTGTATATTTAAACTTTCCCTTCGAACAAAATAAAATACTTTCTGTTTTTCCAACATGTAAACTAAGCTTGTTGTCTGTCATCCATTCGATGCATTTTGCCAATTCTGCACTTAGTTTTTCTTCAATTGACTTAGGATTTGTATCTGAATATAGTAACACACTATCGTCAGCATATAAAAGTAATTTAGAATCATTAACACAAGTACACATATCATTAATATAACACATAAAGAGAATGGGGCCTAAAATGCTCCCTTGTGGAACCCCGCATTTAATAGGCAGGGAATCAGATATTACCTTCTGCATAGTTACCACTTGATGACGATTAGTTAAATATGATCTAAACCATTTAACACATGCCGAATCCAAACCCATCACTTCCAATTTCTTTAACAGTATGTTATGATTTACAGTATCAAAGGCTTTTTGTAAGTCCAGAAGAACCATTCCAACAAAGCGCCCTTGAGAAACTTCATTCCTAACAAAATCCGATAAATGTATTAAACATGTTTCAGTGGAATATCCGTTACGAAAGCCGGACTGAAATTCATATATTAACTTTTTTTCTTGAAAATATTTCTCTATTTGAGCATGAACCGATTTTTCCAAAATTTTTGAAACTACGCTTAAAACACTGATAGGCCTATAATTACCAACGTCAGTTTTGTCTTTCTATCATGTACAACATCATAAACACATATAAAGCAACACCACCGCCGACTCTTCATTGCTTATTTTTGAAGACAAAATCATAATTACCGATTAAAAAGGGTAAATAAAAATCATGGGATAACCAAATTTTCTGTCAGTCCAATCCAAAAAAGCTGTGTATTGGAATGGTTATCTGAAAATTTATTGCAATTCATCAAAATGCTAATTCAAACTTCGTATATTTAATTGCAATAAAGAGAATGTATCACTATCAAAATCTTAAATGATATCATAAAATTGTGCATTTGTTTTATACTTTGTAAAATAATGTTGTGATGGATCCTCCTGATCAAAATTCAAATTCAACTCTTGGGATGATAATTTAAATTTTCAACAACAATTTCATCAAAGGTTCCTGGAAGATTAACAAAGGGTTGATTACTAGCTTGAATAGGTCTTTATAAATCAAAGAGGTCATCGTCGCTCACAGACTCAAAAGGTAAGTGGTGATCTAAATTAGCCATAATAATAATAATAAACAAAATCAAAATCTGAGCAACCCAAACCTGAAAGCATAATCAGCATCAATGTAAGATTCGCAGCGCTAACTAATTCAGATGGCGGATCAAACATAGCACCTGTCACCGACGCCATCAGATAACGCCTCGTGTTCAACGGCCATAAAAAAACTATAATAACGATTCTGTTACCGATGATTTCAATTGTATAGCATACGTACATTTTGTAGTTTCCCTGGTCCCCGCTCCATCAACGTCACAGATGAAATCCCCTTCGTTTAGCATGTCGTTGCAGTTGATCCAGACAACCTGACCACGTAAACTCATCCCGTTCATGACGTCACGGTACCCCTCGATATCAACGAAAAGGAGAGACGGGTTTTTTACTCCTGATACTGTAGTGATTGGCGACAGGTTACGACAAAAGCTTTGTGCATTTTGCCAGGTCCGCTTTTCTGCGTCAATCCGGTAGCACTTAAAGGAAATGCACATCCAATCAGGATCTATATTCAAAGCATAGGGGAAATGGAAAGTTTAGTGTTTTCTTATAATAAATTGTGTGTTTAGGTTTGTTAGCTTTTTTTCTGGACAGGAGTTCCAGTGTGTGGAGTTTGTGTAAGAAATGCCCAATATGATCACAGCAAGTGGTTCGGAGGGAGGGGCGGGCTGAAGCCCCAACAAATGTGAAGTCCTTCCCCGAAGATTGTTGATTATAAATGATTTTAAGCTTTAAACATGTAGAAATATATGCGAGAACCCATGCAAGCCCTCGAAAGCGCCACTCCCGAAAGAAACAAAAATCTTCTACAACTGCTCCTCATGATTACAGTTCCAAAAGGTATATACAGGGTAATGAATTGAAGCGTCATTTTAATAAAAAGACAAAGTAGATATATTACTATTAACTGAAAGTGTGCACATATGCTAAAATACATTTTAAAATTATTTTTAAAAACTTCTCCAAAACTATATTCAATTTTCATCAGCCTTTATTCATAGCTAGCTGTTTCCTTAACCCTTACTGTTCTGGGCTATTTTGAGCACCCTCTGACTGGGGGGCTATGATCTCGGCCGTCGAATGTCCGATGAACACGAAAATTTGCATATTTGTAGATATTTACGTAAGGAACAATTATTTTTTTCCTATTATGCAAATTTTTGTCGTTATAGCCTAATTAATTATGCAAAATGCTAATTTTATGCATTTTACCGAAAACTCTACAAATTTGTCCGTAGACTTGTGAAGAATCTTGAAAATGTATTGAATAAATGTTTCCTTCATCTCAAATTCATGAGGTTTCATTATTTTTATGATATTTGAAAATACATTATAATTTGCATAAATTATGAATACGCAAATTACGCATTCATGAATATCAAATCTGGAACTATATTTAGGGAACTAGGATCATTACAAAAATTGTCAGACTCCACTTTTTGAATGTTTTAACTCATTATTCATATGAAACATCTTTTCTAACGCAAAATAGTTATTTGATGTAATTAATAATGATAATTTATGCAAATTTGATGCGATTTTCAACAATTTATTTTCTTATGTATTTTATTGTTTTTTATTTCTTATTATATCTATTGTTTTATTTCTAATGTATTCTTTTGTTCTGGAATACATCAAATTACTCTGAGAAACATATAAAAGCAATTTGATATCAATTCATATCTTCACATTTCTGCTTGTACATGAATATATGCAATTATAGCACTTTTTTGATGACATGCGCATACTAATTATTTATGTAACACCTTACAGGTATATCCGATTTTGACGAAAATGGTATCAAAATGTGCGCAAGACTTGAGGGAAAAAAGTCATGAAACGACAATTCGAAATTCCAAGCGGTTGCGGCGCGATCTCCGAAAATGTCGAGGGGGGGCCTCCCAGGCCCCCCCCCCCCCCCAGTACAGTAAGGGTTAAGAAATAACAACATCGTATTGATTTCAGACTGCTAAGATTTCTTTCAATGCATTTTCTTTTCAATTGGTTAGGTAAACAACAACATTATATCTAAAGAAAACGGTGATTGTGTCACTTTTTAGCGTAATGTAAGTGTCAATTCTATAAATTTTGTTACACAAAATTCTATCCAATGCATATCCAGTAAAATGTAACATTTTACCATCAAGGAATAGCTTAAGGATCTGCTGTAAGAATCACTATCACTTCCAGTATGGAGGATCAAGAATGTGGGTCTGCTGTTGTGTTGGGTCTAAATTTGCCCAACATTGGATAGTATCCGATTAAATTTTGGACAGTGGTGGAGGTAACATGGAATATTTGTGCTCACTTTGTACGGAAAAAATGATCGTCAGTGATTGGGCATAACTTAAGTGGCCAGGAATAAACCCTGAAGTTGTCGGATACGAATTAACAGGTAATTTTTACCCATCGAATCATACAGATTGCAACGTGAGAATAATGTAGCCAAGGGCGTAGGAAGTTGGGGTTAGATGTGTGGGAATTGTGCGTGCGCAGCGTAGACATGAGTGTTAGTGGTGTCGTTTTGCCACCCAATCCCGAAACAACATTTTGACCATGTTCCTTTAAGAAGATTTCCGATATGCCAATATAATTCAATAATGATTTTATTCAATGTTCGTGTCTATGTGGGGTGGTAATGTGTGTGAGGTGTTTTTTGTACTTTTAATGAAATTTAAAAATAGGACGAACCCAAATCTAGATTTGAGGAGATTATCGACTCCTGCAGAGGATTAAAATAATTTATTTTTTGTTTTATATCACGTAAGATAATGTTGTATGGGTTTAATCGTAGAGTAATGATAATAATAGAAATAATAACAATAATGATAATGATAATGATAACAATAATAATAATAATCAAACAATTAATTATGTTTATCCAGGAAGCCTCATCAGCTCCAATGATCTTCATCTTAAGAGTCTTATAAGTACTAATACCCTAGCGGTTGCCGGGTACCCTTCACATCTGGGTGGAGAGTGACGATCATTGATCAATATCTTGCAAAAATACGTTAACTTAATAGTGCCTGAATGGGATCCGAACCCTCAACCCTTGGATCGAGAGTCATATGAATGAACCCCGACACCACGACACCCCAAAGTGTGTATAATATATCAGCCACGGTAATGCAAAGATTGATAAGCATCATAGGCTATGGATTATGATTCTACCATTACTGACCCATGACTGGAGGTTCCCCATACAGCTCCATACGAAGTGCTATTTTCGAGAACCAGTCCACAGGTAGGAGACGTACATAGCGACACACCTTGGGTTGTGGTAAGGCGTTGTAGACCACAGTGTCAGTGTCACTATTACCCGCGAACACCTTAAATAGCAATGAATATCAAATTGCTTCTTGATTATTCGTCTGGAGTTGTGAACGAAACTTACACTGAATGTTCAAGATTACAAATAAATGTCATTCGCCAAACAATTTGGTAGAAAATGTATACTGGCTGAGTAATGAGCATAGAAAGATAAGGAAATCAAGGTAAGTAACCCCGACACCATTTGTGTAGTCCCATATACATCTTTCTGTGTACAGTGCTTGTTACTTTACCAAGTCTGGGTTAAATTTATTAAGATTTTGATGACTCCAGAACCTTGCAGTACACACCAATAGCTACATGCTACATGATAAACTTTTTTCTGATCCATTCCACACCTTTTCTTTCACAATGCAATTGCATGACTAGAACTCAACTTTATCTTTAAGAAGCCCCAAAACCAGATGCAATTACATAATATATTTCTAGATATTTCAAGATATATAGTTTGCTCGTTGTCCAGAATTCCTCAGATTTTGATTTATTCAATTCCAGAACAAACATATATAACAACAAAGACACTGATGCTGGTTAAACAAGGAAAGGAGTTGCCCCTACTGTGGGGCTTTGGAATGATTTTTTTCAAAAAAGGACCCAGTCCTGTTAATGCCTGGATTACATTTAGCCTGCGATTACTCTACGAAGCCCGTATCCTGCCCGTATCCCCTTTTCCGTGCGGCCTCCGTGCGGAGGCAGGAGGCGGCCGTGAGATTTTCGTACGGATTCACGGACTACGCGGCCCTTACGATTTTGTTTCGCAGAAAGTTAAACAAATTTGAAAAGTCGTAAGCCCGTAGTCCGTAGACATGTCGTAGGTGTCATTGCACAATCCCCGCAAGGATGACTCGCGCTGATCGTGCAGCGAAGGTACGATTTTTCGGTGAACATTGAGGCAAAAAAAACCTTAAAACGGCACGACGGCTGTACGGTCTCCGCGCAACCTTTGCACGGAAGCTGCAAGGGCTCCGTACGATTTCCGTGCGGAGGCTGCGGAGACTGCACGGCTACTGCATTAAAATTGAACGATTGCCGTACAATCTCCGAGCAGCATTTGTACGGATTTGCCCCGGCCTGCCCCCAAGGGCCAATACAAGAAATGGCACGATGCTCGTAGATAATGTAAACACAAACAGCGAAAATTCCCCAAAATCGCACGAAAAATCGTAGACTAATTTATCGTACGGCGCCCGGTGCAAATGTAATCCAGGCATAACTAATCACGTGCACTGCACAGAAAACTTGGTATATAGTACTGGACATCCATGTACATCAAAGTTTGGCCAAATTATCTCTCGTCCTATTTTTTATATAATGATTTTTGAGGAACAATCCTTCCCAGAGGACGTTCGTCACATACTTCCTAACTGACTTTACAAAAATGAGGAGGCTGGCAAATAAGCTTCCATCGGATCGTAGCTTTCTCTCTATACAATTTCTTTGAGAGAACACAATATTATGATATAATAATATTCGGTTCTTGTATAGCGCATAATAATTATCACATTATACAACGTCTCTATGCGCTTCCAAAGACTTTGGAAATTATTACCCTAGCTTTAGCTCCGGCAGCCGTAATCAGCACACAGTGCATTTCAAGGAACAATCCTACCAGGTACCCATTTACCTCACCTGGGTCGAGTGTGGCAAATGTAGATTAATATCTTGCCAAAGGACATTAGTGCCCCAGCGGTAGTCGAACCACGGACCTTGTGATCCACAGTCCGGTGACATATCCGCTCGGCCACGACACCTCATGCTCATATTAGGTATACTAGCATGACTAGTCGAAAGTAATAAAAACGAATGAATACACCAACCTTGTCAGTTGCGGGGTATGTGAGGATGTCCTGTACTGTATCAAAGGTAATACCGTCTACGCTATAGTTGATCTTGTAGTCAGTTACCCACTGGACACGATGTACACGTCCTTGCGTCGAAACTCCATCAATACGGTACATGGTTAACAGATCGACCTTGGGCATATAAATTAAAATCATGTTTATTATCTAAAATATCAATAGATATCCAAAGTTTAAATATGTAATATCTTACTAACTACTTTTTGTAGAATCGGAAAACCACACTCAGGAATTATCAATAACTACGGAGAGAATTCCTTGGGATACATGTATTTATTTGTACGGGCTACATTCATCATAAATTTCATGGTTCGTCGTTAGATTATCAGGGACTTTTAGATTTGCACGACGAGAACGTGGACAGGTACGTGTGACATCCTTATAAGGCAATGTGACGTCCTTTTAAAGATACTATGTCCCTTTTGCAGCCAACATCGAATTCTGTAGAACTTTGCAGGAATTATGAATATGTCATGTATGTCCTATCTGTCAAATTTAAACGTAAGCAGGAAACCCGTTTACTTGCAAGACTACACTGTTAGACACTATTGAGTGACTGACTGGCCCTTTTCTTCTTTCGTAATAACATACATAAAATGAGCTGTAAAAGGAACATGAGCATTTGTCTACATCAATAACCCACTTCTTGTAAAGGCCTAAATTAAACTGATTGATCTTTGGGCAGCATAAAACGTACGACCATTCGGTACAATGGTCTGAAAATCAGACTATGATTTACTGGCTCTATAGCTCTTAAGTCGTTTCTAAAACCAATAGTCGTTATTTTCCCACTTGAATACATTTTCAAGCTCCCCCCCTTTTTTAAGGGAAGTTCAAAAATTAGTATTATCTTTCAAATGCCGTTGGAATTTAACCTTTTCATTTGTTTTGGCCTGCAAATGAGACATAGGTACCTTAAAGGCACTGGCAGGGCCAATCAGTGCCTTAAAAGGACGTCACATTGCCTTAAAAGGATGTCACACGTAGCGGTCCACGTTCTCGTCGTGCTAATCTAAAAGTCCCCATTTTAATGGTTTGATGGTAATTTTGTTTTCCCTGACTGCTAAAGAAGCATTTGTTCGCCTGTAAATAAGCAACCGTGGGAGCGACGGCTCTAAGTCGTCCCCGAGGGACTTGGTAATAAGGATTATTGCCTCAACAAAAGGGCACTAGCGCACTGACTAGGGATCGGGGCACGGGAGGGCATATCGGACTACCGGTCTACGGAGAGAAATTAAAAACTTCCAACACCTGCCTTTATGGAAGCCTTTCCGTCGATCACGCCGATCTCACCTGTATCCATTGATTCGTATCGCGGTAGTGCGATAACCAGGCTCCACATAAGAAGTTCTCTCCTTTTTCTTCCCTGACAAGGTGTAAGCGCGCCCTCTCAGGAAAACACTGATTAACACTATCCCATGCACTAGAAGCTGTCATGGATGAATCTGGAATGGCTCCACTCTCTATGCCCACAGGGTCCAGAAAAGCATCTGATGATAGAATAAGAAGTTTAATTTCTTACTTTTGCATGAAATATAACAACAGATCAGAATTTGCACACCAGTGTGGTAGAGTTTACTCATTAATAAATATGATTTTAATAGACTTGCCGAAGTGTAAGAGTAAAGATCCCGGACACTAATATGCCCTCAAGGGTCGGTTAGAAAATGACCAAACGCTGGGCAATTTCTGCTTGACGTTATTGATCAATTCCCCCTGATCAGATTTGGGCTAGAGTATACAACTTTGGGAAATTTTTTAACCAACTGTCTGTCACCCAACTTAATTTACCAATTGTTTTAAGAGTGGACACCGATGCATGTTGAAGATTTCGAAGGAGAAAAAAAATGATGCAGATAAGCTAATGTCTCAAGGGCAATTATCGTCTAATTAATGTGGGAAAAAGTTTGAATGAAGATGATAAATACATATATGAATATCATGATTTAATTCGACTTGATTCGATTTACTTCTCTTCATGATCTTTTTCAAAAGTTATAAACTGAATACAACATAATCATGGTTATAAACAAATGATATAATATACAAATTATAAACGTAAAATACTTGCATTGCATTATTATCAACAAGCGATCATGAAGAAGGATTGCCATATAAGCTAAGCTTGAAGGCAATCCCATTTATCCCATATACATGGCAATCCCATACAAATCTTACTAATTCCTGTATACTAAAGGATTTTTTTTTTTTTTTTTGGGGGGGGGGGGGGGTAATGGAAAAGATCTACGGGGAGATGACAAGAGGGTGTGGTAAATAGAGTGACAAAGGTGATGGCTTTGTTGAAGAGATACAGAGAATTAGGCACAAAAGCAGAAGTGAGGTGATGAAAGGTGCAGATCAAGAGGGACGGAGGAGAGGATAGAGACGGAAGGGGAGATAGAGACAGACAGATACAAAGAGAGAGACAGACAGATACAAAGAGAGAGACAGAGAGAGAAAGAGCGAGAGAGAGACAGGAAGACATATATACATGTATAAGAAACTTTTTCTGTAAGAAGATCTCATTGGATTCCATTTTTGGATAAATGCGATGAATCGTACGGTTCCTTTTTCTTGGTTTATTTTTTAAAATCCTTTTTATCCTACAAAGAATCCTAAATTGGTTAGGAATTTGAAATAAATAAAGCGAGGATAAGTATTTACAGGTGTTGATGGTGATTGTGAAGTTACACGTTGCTTGATTTCCGCTCTCATCGGCAAAGACGTGCTCAACGACGGTTGACCCGACTGGGAATCCGTCACCCGAGCCATAATTTGAGGAGACCAATAAAGCCGTGCCTGACATATCAGTAGCCGATGGTTGTATGAACTCGATGGATGTTTTCGGAGCAGACATACCGAGTTCGACAGTGACGGTGATATCGTCATTACATACTACATCAGGAGCGACCGTATCAACTGATTGAGAAATTAAGAGAAATTAGATTTGGTTTTAATTAACTTTTATTAGCCTCAAGTAATCGTGTAACTGATTTTGGAAGACTCATTAGTTATTCAAATATATGTTCATTTCACTCATATAAAGTTTCCGATTAATGAATATGTCAAGAAATCTATGCATGACAAAACGATGATTTTTGAATGGAAGGTACAGCATACAAGAAATTACTGCTATACATTAAAGGAATTGGGTATCTCAAATTCTGGAACAAAATCCTGGATTAAGCTCATGCTATAATGATAATTATAAACCTTTAGGTCAGTCAAAAAACCCATGTCTTTTACAAGCCGATCGCCAGTCTGATCATCAAAATATTTATAATTTGAATTCGAAATGTCAAAAACCGTTTTCTTAACGGTTTTTATAACACAACCTATAACACCATATCACAGACGCTAATAACACCAGTATAAACCAGCATTCAGGGACTGACTGGTTAGCGAGAGTTTGAGATTTTACCCACGGTCCACTTGAGATCTGTGCTTGAAGGCCGGACGGTTTCTGGTCGAGTGCAGGATGGTATATCTATATTAAGGTAGGATCAAACTTTCCAAGCTGTTTTTCAGTCCCAGTCCGCCCCTGCCTGATACACCCTTATGGCTATCCTGGATGGCTTACCTCGAACCATAGGTTCATCGCGTCCGGTCGAGAAGTCGCGTCGCACGACCTTTCGTGAAACAAAAGCGGAAGATGACGTGACCTTTCGTAGATTTCCCGTAGGGTTATCACTAAGTGTCGGGTTGAGTGGACCAGACCATTTGTAGATGAGAGAGGTTTATATTAAAACATTACCCATGATTTTCCGTGAATAAAGGGGAATGTTTTTCACTAAAGGTCGGGTTACGCGAACACCCGACCCGACGCAATGACCCCATGATTCGAAGTAAGCCTGCTGGATACACCACTGACTCTTTTGATTTTTCGTTTGGGTTCTACTTACTTGAGTTGACGATTACGGTGAAATTGCAAGTTGCCTCATTTCCGCTCTCGTCAGCAAAGACGTACTCAACGACGGTTGCCCCGACCGGGAATTCGTCACCCGAGTCATAATTTGAGGAGACCAGTAAATCCGTGCCTGACGTATCAGTAGCCGACGGCTGTATGAACTCGACGGATGTATTCGGAGTAGGCCTACCAAGTTCGACAGTGATTGTGATATCCTCACTACAGACTACATCAGGAGCGGTCGTATCAACTGATTTAGAAATTCAGAGAAATTAGATTTGGTTTTTATTTAATTTGTATTATCCCGAAGCAATCGTGTAACTGATTCAGAAAATTAAAGGCCAAGTCCACTCCAATAATAATTTGCTTTTAATAGATGTAAAAAACACACAAGAGAAACAGAGCAGAGGTAATTTGAGAATCGGATAACTAATCAGGAAGTTATGAATTTTTGAATTAGTATAACAAACTATGGAACAATGGACATGACTATTATTGTCAATTTGGTCAATTTGTGACGTCATCGCCTCACTTTTTATCAATTGCTTTATATATTTTTATCCTATTAATCTTTTTTCTCTTTCTATCCCAGAAACTTGATTTCCCTATGCCTTTGCCCATGTTATATGATTTGTATCATATTGCGTGCATGACATTTCACAAAATCTTTTATAAACTTTGAAGGATTCATACTATTTTCTGAATATTGTATTCAAAATCAATGTTTTTTTAATAAATATTTTATCAAAATTAACATTGGTCTTGATTTAACTGAAAAGAATTACTCTATATCAGTGCACCCACACGAAAACATATTACTGTCAATATAACTTGGATGCTGGTGTGAGGAAATAAGGGGTAAAATGGGAAATTAATGTTATCAATATAAAGAAAACAATTAGTGAGGCAATGATGTCACAGAATCATGAGGGAGTTGAAAATTTGTCTTGTGATTTTCAAAGTTTTTCATGTCATTAACAATTCATAACTTTCTTATTAGTTATCAGAATTTGCTCAAACTTTTTTTCGATTGGTTTGTCTGATTATTTTGCTTCTATTGAAAGTAAGTTATTCTTAGAGTCAACATGCCCTTTTTAATGATTTTGTTATTGGTACATTAGTGTATTCAAATATATGCATATTTCACTCATGTAAAGCTTCCGATTATGTCAAGAGCTCTATGCATAACGAAACGATGATTTTTGTATGGAAGGTACAGCATACAAGAACTTACTGCTATTCAATAAAGGGATCTATTAGGTAGAATCAAACTTTCCAAGCTGTTTTTCAGTCCCAGTCCGCCCCTGCCTGGTACTATCCTGGATGGCTTACCTCGAATCATAGGTTCGTCGCGTCCGGTCGGGTGGCCGAGTTATACGACCTTTCGTGAAACGGAAGTGGAAGTTGACGTAACCTTTCGTAGATTTCCCGTAGGGTTTTCACCAAGTGTCGGGTTGATTGGACCAGGCAATTTGTAGATGAGAAAGGTTTATATCACAAACATTACCCCCGATATTTCGTGAATAAAGGGGCATGTTTTCACTATAAGAAAGGTCGGTTAACGCGACCACCCGACCCGACACCACTGACTTTCCGTTTGGGTTCTACTTACTTGAATTGACGATAACGGTGAAATTGCAAGTTGCCTTATTTCCGCTCTCATCAGCAAAGACGTACTCAACGACGGTTGCCCCAACCGGGAATTCGTCACCCGAGGCATAATTTGTGGAGACCAATAAAGCCGTGCCTGACGTATCAGTAGCCGATGGCTGTATGAACTCGACGGATGTATTCGGAGTAGGCCTGCCAAGTTCGACAGTAACGGTGATGTTCTCAATACAAACTACATCTGGAGCGGTCGTATCAACTGATTCAAAAATTTAGAAAAATTAGATTTGGTTCTATTTCATTTTTATACGCCCTCAAGAAATCGTGTAACTGATTCAGAATAGTAATGATTTTGAAAGACACATTAGTATATTTCAATTCATGCACATTTCATTCATTCACGTAAAGCTTCCGATAAATGAATATGTCAAGGAGTCTATGTCTGATGAAACGATAATTTTCTAAGAAAGATACAGCACACAAGAATTTACTGCTATACATTAATGCCATACACGTATACACCAGCTATATGGGACTGACTGGGTATTGAGAGTTTGAGAGTTTAACCCACGGTCCACTCGATATCTGTGCTTGAAGACCAGTCGTATTCTGGTCGAGGTCCGGATGTTATATCTATTAGGTTGAGTGGGCCGGTAGCATCAAACTTTCCAAGCTGATTTTTCAGTCGCAGTCAGCTTCTGCACGTTACACCCTTTTGTCTATATTGGATGGCTCACTTCGAATCATAGTTTCACTGTGTCTTTTCGGATGGTCGAGTGCACGAATTTTTGTAAAACGAAAGCGAAAGAAGACGTACACGAACACCCGACCCGACGCAATGACCCGATAAATCGAAGTAAGCCTCCAAGATACAGCTATGACTCTATTTCATTGTAGTTTCTACTTACTTGAGTTGACGATTACGGTGAAATTGCAAGTTGCCTCATTTCCACTCTCGTCAGTAAAGACGTACTCAACGACGGTTGCCCCGACCGGGAATTCGTCACCCGAGTCATAATTTGAGGAGACCAGTAAATCCGTGCCTGACATATCAGTGGCCGATGGACGTTTGTACTCGACCGATGTATTGGGAGTAGGCTTACCAAGTTCGACAGTAACGGTGATATCCTCAATACATACTACATCTGGAGCGGTCGTATCAACTGATTCAGAAATTTAGAGAAATTAGATTTGGTTCTATTTTATTTGTATTAGCCCCCAGAAAGCGTGTAATTGATTCAGAACATTTATGATTTTGAAAGGCACATTTTTATATTCCAATAAATGCACATTTCATTCATTCATGTAAGGTTTCCGATTAATGCATATGTCAAGAGGTCTATGCATGACGAAACGATGATTTTCTAAGAAAAATACAGCACACAAGAAATTACTGCTATATATTAATGCCATACACGTATACACATGGGGGTGTTTCATAAAGCTGATTGTAAAGTTACGCATGACTTTACGAAAGACTTGAATATGAAGCGCCAGACAGGATGACCAAAGTCTTTCCTGATGTTTTCACAAAGTGTGACTATATTTCAAATAACCTCAATTAAATTATGGCAAAAAATGTACCTTGCCATAGAAATGTTTGTCACGATAAGAATGTTAATCTAAATCTGCACAGTTTAACTTTAGTTGATGCACTTAATAATGATTGAGCATCCCCTTTGGCTTTTCATATTTAAGTCATTCGTAAAGTCATGCGTAATGTACGAACAGCTTTTGAAACACTCCACAGTTAGCTATAAGGGACTGACTGGGCATTGAGAGTTTGAGAGTTTAACCCATGGTTCACTCGATACCTGTGCTTGAAGACCAGTCGTATTCTGGTTGAGGGCCGGATGGTATATCTATTAGGTAAAGTGGGCCGGTAGCATTAAACTTTCCACGCAGATTTGTCAGTCGCAGTCAGCTTCTGCACGTTACACCCTTTTGTCGATATTGGATGGCTCACTTCGAATCATAGTTTCACTGTGTCTTGTCGGATGGTCGAGTGCACGAATTTTTGTAAAACGAAAGCGAAAGAAGACGTACACGAACACCCGACCCGACACAATGACCCGATAAATCGAAGTAAGCCTCCAAGATACAGCTATGACTCTATTTCATTGTAGGTTCTACTTACTTGAGTTGACGATTACGGTGAAATTGCAAGTTGCCTCATTTCCACTCTCGTCAGCAAAGACGTACTCAACGACGGTTGCCCCGACCGGGAATTCGTCACCCGAGTCATAATTTGAGGAGACCAGTAAATCCGTGCCTGACATATCAGTGGCCGATGGACGTTTGTACTCGACCGATGTATTGGGAGTAGGCTTACCAAGTTCGACAGTAACGGTGATATCCTCAATACATACTACATCTGGAGCGGTCGTATCAACTGATTCAGAAATTTAGAGAAATTAGATTTGGTTCTATTTTATTTGTATTAGCCCCCAGAAAGCGTGTAATTGATTCAGAACATTTATGATTTTGAAAGGCACATTTTTATATTCCAATAAATGCACATTTCATTCATTCATGTAAAGTTTCCGATTAATGCATATGTCAAGAGGTCTATGCATGACGAAACGATGATTTTCTAAGAAAAATACAGCACACAAGAAATTACTGCTATATATTAATGCCATACACGTATACACATGGGGGTGTTTCATAAAGCTGATTGTAAAGTTACGCATGACTTTACGAACGACTTGAATATGAAGCGCCAGACAGGATGACCAAAGTCTTTCCTGATGTTTTCACAAAGTGTGACTATATTTCAAATAACCTCAATTAAATTATGGCAAAAAATGTACCTTGCCATAGAAATGTTTGTCATGATAAGAATGTTAATTTAAATCTGCACAGTTTAACTTTAGTTGATGCACTTAATAATGATTGAGCATCCCCTTTGGCTTTTCATATTTAAGTCATTCGTAAAGTCATGCGTAATGTACGAACAGCTTTTGAAACACTCCACAGTTAGCTATAAGGGACTGACTGGGCATTGAGAGTTTGAGAGTTTAACCCATGGTTCACTCGATACCTGTGCTTGAAGACCAGTCGTATTCTGGTTGAGGGCCGGATGGTATATCTATTAGGTAAAGTGGGCCGGTAGCATTAAACTTTCCACGCAGATTTGTCAGTCGCAGTCAGCTTCTGCACGTTACACCCTTTTGTCGATATTGGATGGCTCACTTTGAATCATAGTTTCACTGTGTCTTGTCGGATGGTCGAGTGCACGAATTTTCGTGAAACGAAAGCGAAAGGGGACGTGAACTTTCATGGATTTGCCGTAATGTTTTCACAAAGTTTCGGGTTAATTGGACCAGACCATTTGTAGAAGAGAGGGGTTTATTTCACAAACCATACCCCAGACAGTTTTTTAATAAAGGGTCATGTTTTGACAAAAGGTCGGGTAACACGACAACCCGACCCGACGCAATGATCCGATGATTCGAAGTAAGCCTCGTGGATACACCAATGACTCTATTTCCTTGTAGTTTCTACTTACTTGAGTTGACGATTACGGTGAAATTGCAAGTTGCCTTATTTCCGCTCTCATCAGCAAAGACGTACTCAACGACGGTTGCCCCGACTTGGAATTCGTCACCCGAGTCATAATTTGAGGAGACCAGTAAAACCGTGCCTGACATATCAGTAGCCGATGGCTGTATGAACTCGACGGATGTATTCGGAGTAGGCCTACCAAGTTCGACAGTGATGGTGATATCTTCCACACAGGTAACATTAGGAGGAGTGACGTCACCTGATCCTATCACACGATAGTTGATGAAGAAAGACATTATTATAACTTGTTGTGGGGGGGGGGGGGCTGGGTGTACTTACACTCTAAAATATTACTTTATTTTATTCCATTAACAAGCATTGCCCATGATGTTGACGAATGATATTTTACTCGAATGACCTTTTGAAGGTTAAGTGTAGCATATCCATGATACTTGTGAACATAAATTCACAATTTCACCATGAGGGTAGTCCTGAAAAGCCCTGTTCTGTTTGAAAGGACAATATTAACACTATATTCTATGCCCCTATAAATCATGTTATGGTTACATAATACTTCAATTTAATACTCGTATATGTCAATAAGTGAATCACAAAGCTTTTGAAATTGCCTTAGATTTATTTTTTAAAGAAGTTGCTAACGTGATTACTGTACATGCATCTCGAGTTGTCCAATTAGACAGACAGACAATATCCTAAAATTTGATCAAAGCTTTTAAGACTTTTGGCCAACATTTATTAATGATTTGATTGTAGTCCAACAAGGTGCATTAATATATATGCGGCCTTGTTCAACTATATGAAATTCCTATTTTTAACGGAATTATTTTTTGTTTTAATTGTCTTACGTTCATTACAAGCTTTGCCTTCATATCCAGGTGAGCAGTGGCATTCATAGCCTTCCATAGTCTCCTCACACCATCCGTTTTCACATGGTTTCCGTTCGCAATCTTGGGAATAAAAAAAGAAACGGTATACATTAAGGCTAAATATCCACAATAAAGTAACTTTATGATCCCTACGTGAATAAATGGTTTGCTTGCAACACGTTCTCCTGGATTGAGAAAGTCATCATGATTATTATACTTTCAATGTCTTCAGGATATGTAGCAGTCTATAAAGAAGTGGAACGTGACCACCGAGACGGTCGAAAGCCAGATGGGAAGCCCCGCCATATCCTTATAAAGCTTTTATCCCCCGCGATAAAGT